TATCAAAATGTCAACTCAATATATATGTATATATCATATATGGAGAGAGAGAGAGAGAGAGAGAAAGAGAGAGTGAGAGAGAGATTTGCAAGGTAGGCTTACAATGGCCACCCATAGAGATGTAGAGTAAGGTCTGGAAGAATATGAAAGGGTTGTCTGTGCACTGAAGATGCAAAGGCAAAAGCCTGAGCTCCCTGCAGAGTCCAGTGTGAATTCACATAGGAAGCCAAAGAGTTTGCACTCCAAGGCTAGAACCTGGCCTGGAAGTCTGCAGACAGGTTTGTTTTATGATTTGGGAGAAGAAGGCTGTATTTCTGTTTGTTTAGGGAACATGGCCATGGTCGTGTTTGTTACCTGATGTGAAGGCTACAAACAGAAGCAAAATTTTGCCCAAAGCTTTTGTTTGTGAACCAGATCATTTGCAAATGGAAGAGTTTGTAAATCCAGGAACTAATGTACATTTTCTTTATCTATTCATCTGTTTTCAAGATTTAGTTCTTTATGAATTATTCTGATATAAGCACAGGTATGCATGTATCTCTGTAATACAGTGTCTTCAACACTTTCAGGAAAATACCTAGAAGGGGAATAGCTAGGTCAAGTAGAATTTCTGGTTTTAAATTTTTGAGTAAAAATTTCTATATTGATTTTACCAGTTTACATTCCCAGCAACAATATAGAGTAGTTCCTTTTTCCCTGTATCCTCACAATTTTCTGATTGCTCATTTGAATCCTTTTATTGATATAAAATGGGTTTAAAAATAAAATATTTACGATCCTATACTACTGTCAATGGTAATTCACTATAATATATTTCTCAGAAGCCTTTAATTACCACAATTATTTGTAATTTCCTTATAGTCTTTTGTGCATGAGGATATCAGCAGCATGGGAAGGCACAGTCTATACCTTCTCCTGTACTTGGTAGCCCATTGGGTGACTTGAAGGGACCCAAAAAGGGTCATCTTCTCTGTGTAGTGACAATTTGAGAAGAAAAGATAGTCTGTATAAAGTGCAGGAGTTGGTTCTCTCTTGGTACACAAGGGGAAGAATTAAGTGACAGTGAATAGAAGAGATCACATATATAACAGGAAAGAGAAATAACTATGGCTAAGTCTGCTCTCCAAAGCCAGGTTGTTCTTTGATTTTGGCAAAAGTTTCCCTAGGAGAAGAAACGAAAGGAAAAGGCAAAGGAATCAAAAGATGGCTTCAGTTGCCAGGCCTACATAAAGAACTGCACAGTCACACATCTAATATTTAATATGAGGTTTTCTTCATAGGGACTGTGAATATACTTATTAGAGTGCTTCTAACAGTTAGGTATAGGCTCCAAAATAAATAAGAAATACAGGAGAGGAAGCTGACTCACTGAAAGGGCTCCAAGCCCTCAAAGAGAGCCAGGTTTCAACAAGAAGCTATGCAGAGTTGAAGGGACATTCCCAGGGGTTATTTGCAGAATTGTTTTCTCTGCTGGATATTTGGATGCATTTCCCAGTCTTCCATTGGAAGCCAAGGCATCCTCTGCTGTGCTGTTGCGAATGAGAGTGTGGAGTGCTGATGTCTCATAGCTGAGTCTCTTACCAGGAATTAACCTTGACTATTCCCAAGTGTATACTGTATCTGGGGAATGAATTGATATCTGGTTAGAGATACATGTGGGAATACAGATACTCGGCAACCATGTTTCAATTTGGGAGAAATTTGAAGTGTCATGTCTTTTCTAGAAATCCTTTTACACCAGCTTTAGTCTTCATTGTCACTACAGTTTAGGTCAATTTTCCCTTGCCTAATTTTGCTACCTTCATTTGTTCACTGGTATCGTTTGTTTTGGTATTCTTTCCAAAAACAACTCATCAGTGCATTTCCCACACATAGAATTCTTTCTTAGTGTCTGTGTTCTCTGTAACCTAGTCAAAGTAGCTTATTTTTTGTGAAACCTTCCTTTTAGAATGACCATTTGCCTGGGTCTGATAGTTTTCTTTCTCATGCCTTAACTAGAAGATTCTGAGGCAAACCAGGTTGATTATTCAGCATATCCCAATTTCCTAGGTGTTATAGACTTTGGAAATTCCATTGCCTGATGGACCAAGGATGCTGTGTATATTCTACCACCCTGTGAGTTGAGGTCTTGATCTTTTGTTTATCGATAAAATCTATCTTTGTTTCTCTTTTTCTCTCACTGGTCACCAGAACCCATATCCTATTTCATTATGAATTCCTCATAAGTACTACTGACCTCTTGAAGTATGAATCATGTGATAGATTTCTCTAATTTCATGTTAGAACTTGTCCTTGTTT